TTGTGGTTTCAAGCACCAAGGAAATTGAGTAGATTATTAATTTGAAAGAAAAGCATGATTGGAATGGATCAATACAAATATCTAATATAGTACAAAATCAAATGAAGCTAGTTTTCAACAAGTTAAAGATATAAAAAATGTGAAGAAAAATCAAAGCATAACATGAAAAATAAAAAATAAAAAATTTGATTTTTCTCATTTTTTTTAATGTGCATTGAAATGCTTTTAAAGGTTTAAAATAAGTTTATTGATCTTATTTCAATGATTTAGAAGTGTTTTGGGACACAAATAATGTCAAAAATAGGGTTTGAAGTTTTGAAACTAGACCCTTAATTTTTCAACAACAATACTAACTAAAAGTTTGTTAAAAGTTATAGGATAGCAATGCGTTGTACGTGTTGGTGCCCAACACGAGCGACGAGTCGTCATTTTGTTTTGTTTTTTCCTAAAGTAGGTTGTATGAGCTTCTTTTTACAAACTTAAGAGTGCATGTCTACTTCTTCAAACACAAGGCTACATGCTTGTCTCGTTTTTTGGCTTTTTGTTTTTTCCAGAATTTTTTTAAATTTTTTATTATTGAATTCGTTTTAAAAAAATTTTAAAAATCAATTATTATTTTTTTCTATACGAGGTTGTAGAGGATGATAGGTTTTTACTTTTTAGAATGGATATATATATATATATATATTTTCATTTTTTATGAGAATTCTCTCAATTTTTTTTTATTTTTTCTTATATAATTTTATTGGTTAATAAATATGGTTTATTTTTCTTAATGCATCGATTTTTTAATAAAGTTTTAAAATATGATTTTTTAATATATTGATTATATTTATATGACGAAGTCTTATGATTTTTAAATACTCTTAGAATATCATCATTCTACATCATGAAAGAAAAAGCTAGCTATACCACTTAAAAGAGAATTGATGGTCTGATATAGCCAAACAGAGTAAGATAAGTGCATGTTCACCAAAAGGCAAGAGAAACAATATAGTAAATTTTTCATTACTAGACAAGGATATCAATCATCAGGGAAACAATATAGTAAATAATTCATTAGTAAATAACGATATCAAGCTTTGGTTTGTGAATTATAAAGTTGAAGAGTATTCCAAATCAAATTTGATGTTGGCACAATTGATATCCTTATAGGAAGCCCATGAGAGTTTGAAGAAATGGAGAGAAAAACAAATGACAAGAAATCGTGCAAAGAGGTTGGGTGCAAAACTACATCCAAGAGTCACTTTAAAGATCTTGTGATATTTATTCGGTGTATACCTAAACGGAATGCTAAATTTTATTCTATTTAATCCTCCATTATTTTTGCAATACTGTTAGAATATCATCGTTCAACAACATGAAAGAAAAAGCAAGCTATGTCATTCTACCACTTGATAGAGAATTGATGGTCTGGTACAACCAAATAGAGTAAGATAAGTGCATGTTCACCAAAAAACAAAGGAAACAACATAGTAAAATGTTCATTAATAGACAAGGATATCAATCATAAGGGAAACAATACACTAACTGCTTCATTAGTACATAAGGATATCAAACTTTGGTTTGTGAATCACAAATTCGAAGAGTATTCCGAATCAGATTTGACGTTAGCATGATTATATACTTATCTACTAATGAAGCATTTTCCCTTATATTGATTTTTAAAGAAAAATATTTCAAAAAAGGCCTCTATTGGCTTGTTTTTACAAGCCTAAGAGTGCTTGTTTGTTAAATAATTTATGAAAAATACAAGTAAGAATAAATTATAAGATTATATTATTTTTTGTTTTTATTTAATATATTTTAATAGATTTATCATATAGTAGAAATTATCAAACCGAAATAAATTTGTTAAATAATTTCAATTTTTTCAACCTTTTTGCTTCATTCCTAAACTTCTAAAATTCATGTTGTTTTTGTTGCACTTGTTGCTATACAAGTATAAGCTCATGAAGTCTAACAAGAGAGCATGTAGTTAGTTTTCTACCCATCTTACAAGCGATTAAATAAATGATTTCTGTTAACAACCATATATTGTAATTTATCTAGTAAGAATCATTTAACTCTAATATATTAAGTAGAACTCTTGTTCATAACTCAAAAAAAAAAAAAAAAAAAAAAGAGATCTCAAATAATTAGCAAAACACAACAAAACTCTAAACACATGAATTAATATCAAAAGAACAAGTTATTCAAAATCAAACTCTGAAACTCACAATATAAAAATTGATACATAAAGAGAGAAATAGTAGCTTCATGGATCAAATTGCTGTAATAAGTTCTATAATTTCTAGTTATGTATAAGATAAATAAACAAACAACATGTGATTTATCAAATAAAAATAAATCTCATCTTTACATATAAGATCATATATATTTGATTAAACAATATTTTTCTTCAAATCTCACAAAAAAATAAAAATTAACACAACAATTATGTACTTTAAAATGATCAAATATCGAATATAACACAAAATCAAATGAAGCTAATTTTCAACAAGTTGAAGATATCAACTTTGTTTTTCTCATTGTATTTTTTTAATGTGCATTGAAATGCTTTAAAAGGTTCCAAACAAGTTTATTGACCTTATTTCAATGATTTAAAAGTGTTTTGGGACAAAAATAATGTAAAAAATGAGGTTTGAAACTAGACCCTTAATTTTTCAACAACAATTCTAACAAAAAGTTTGTCGAAAGTTGTAGGATAGCGATGCATCACCTGTGCTGCTGCCCAACACGAGCTATAAGTTGTCGTTTTATTTTTTTTTCAAAAAGCAGGCTATATGGGTTTGTTTGTACAAGTCTAATGGTGCATGTCTACTTCTTCAAACACAAGGCTACATGCTTGCCTTTTTTTTTTTTTTGGCTTTTGTTTTTTTTTTTTTTGCAGATTTTTTTTTATTATTGAATTGGTTGCAAAAAAAAATTAAAAATGAATTGTTATATATATATATATATATTTCTTTTTTTATATAATTTTATTTTTTAATAAATATGATTTATTTTTTTCAATGCATCGATTTTTTTAATAAAATTTTAAAATATGATTATTTTTTTAATATATTGATTATATTTATATGATGGAGTTTTATAATTTTTAAATATCCTTAAAATATTATCATTCTCCAGCTTGAAAGAAAAAACAAGCTATATCATTCTACCACTAGACAAAGAATTGATGGCTAGGCACAACCAAATAGAGTAAGATAAGTGCACGTTCACCAAAAGACTAGGAAAAAAGCACAATAAATTATTCATTATTAGACGAGGATATCAATCATAAAGGAAACAACACAGTAAATACTTTATTAGTACATAAGTATATCAAGCTTCAATTTGTGAATGACAAAGTCAAAGAGTATTCCAAATCAGATTTGACGTTGGCAGGATTGATATCCTTATCTACTAACGAAGCATTTTCCCTTATGTTGATTTTTAAAGGAAAGTATTGAAAAAAAGAAGTTGTGTGGGCCTATTTTTGCAAGCCTAAGAGTGTATGCTTGTTAAATAATTTATGACAACTACAAGTAAGAATAAATTATAACATTATATTATTTTTTTATTTTTAATTTAATATATTTTAATAGATCTGTCATGTAGTAGAAATTATTAAACTGAAATAAATTTGCCAAATAATTTCAATTCTTTCCGTCTTTTTGCTTCATTCTTGAACTTTTGATATTCATGCTGTTTTTGTTGCGCTTGTTGCTTTAGAAATATAAGCTTACGAAGTCTAGCAAGAGAGCATGGAATTGGTTTTCTTCCCATCCTACAAGCTATTAAATAAATGTTTTTTGTTAACAACCATACATTGTAATTTATCTAGTTAGAATCATTTAACTCTAATATCACTCTTTTTCACAACTCACAAAAAAAAAGTTATATATTTTTTTCTTTCTAAAATCAAATCTCAAAGCAATTAGCAAAACATAGCAAAAATCTAAACACACGAATTAATATCAAGAGAACAAGTTATTCAAAATCAAACTCTGAAACTCACAATGTAAGTATTGATACATGAAGATAGAAATAGTAGCTTGATGGACCAAATTGCTATAGTAAGTTCTATAACCTCTAGTTATGTTAAGCTAATTATTATTAAATATTTTTTTGAAATTAATTTTAATTCTTGAAAAAATAATTTAGTTTTTTTTTAAAAAAAAAACTAGATCGATGTATTCATTACACACCAATAATTATTCAATAACAAAAGTCAAGTCAATAAATAACAAAATCATCTAAACTTCTTTAAAACTAACTATTATTAAAAAAAATATTTAATTAATTCTAAAAACAAAAAATAGTCAATACTTTGACCAGTAAAAATAATGAAAAAGTATAAAATTTGCTCCCAAACTAATATTTTAGGGTTCAAATAAGTTTTATTTTGCTACAATCTCAATAATTTAGAGATAAATTTTGCCACTAAATAGAATTCAAGTTAAGAGACGTTATGACCATTAGAGATAATAGAAAAAGATCATAACATTTATCGAATAAATAATAATTTTAGATTCAAGTATTCTAAATTGATAGAACGAGTCGTAAATTATCATAACTTGAGAATTTGAGGGTTATTTTTGTTATTTAACCATTATTTTTCACGTACGAGAGTACAAGAGTTACTTTATGATAGATTATTTATAAATATAATGTGAAGCACATGGATGGCACCTCATTTGGTATTTATGCTATTCAGTACAGAATGACCTGAGACGTACAACGGAAACTTCCTCCTAAGTTACAAGATTCTTCTGCATATGTAATTACATTAGCAGGGGAGCCACTTCTATTCTGCTTAGTTAGTTGTCATACAATATGTCGTTACACATAATTTGATGATTATTGGAAATTCTTCCATTAGTAAAATTATAACTGCACTCCATGGGCGTGGAGTACCTGTTTGTGAAAACATAGTTATCTCACATAAATGGCCTCCATCTGCGTTGGTTTTCCTAACATAACGAGGAGTAATTGTAGGTTTCATCAGTGTGGTGATGCTTTGGTGCAACGATGATTCCTCTGCAAATTTCTTCCTATGAACTCTAGGGTCGTCAGTCCTAATCTTTTATTTTTTGGATATAAAAATATTATTGCATCATTTACACTATAATTCAGGTGATTGTGATTCTTGCAGGATCATAGAACCACTTGCTTCGAGATGTGCAAAATTCAGGTTCAAGCTACTTTCAGAAGAAATCATGAGTAGTCGTATATTGCACATTTGTTATGAAGAAGGCCTCACTCGTGACGCAGAGGTATGCAAAGCTTGTTGAATTCATTTCTTTTCTTTTTTTTTCAGTGGCTTGCTTTCCTAGCAAAAACATGCGATGTACCACTGCAGGCTCTCTCAACCTTAAGCTCTATCTTACAAGGAGATCTGCGCCGGGATATCACGTACTTGCAAGTAAGAGATGATTTTTTCCCCTTTCATGTCATGACCACGATGCTTATATTCTGTACCCCATTATTTTGGTGTCATGCTCATTGATTTTGTTAACCAAGAGTTATGGTGTTACTACCTGTAGAACTCAACTACCAATTCTTACTAGTCATTTTTCATTTCTCATTGGTCCAGAAGGTTTAAAACAGGGTATCCTTGAATCCTTACCGCTCAGTAACTCACTGAGACTATTCCCGTTAAAGTAGTGGTTTCTTATGGCATTTTACATTTCATGAGATATCGGAGCGCAATTCAACGTCATCGAGTTTTTATCGAGTTTTTACCAGTGCCTTTCTGAATATTGCTTCAAATGATTGACAGTTTTGTTAACCTTCATCAAGCATGAAAACTTGTTTCACTGGATTGGATTGCTTTATTGTGCAAACATAATCTCAAAGTCTCTAGCTTTTGAGGATTAGGCCCAGTTATGATTATATCAGGATCAGAAACATCTGCCACTTTCAAAAACAAATCTACCACATGTTATTGCTTCCATAAAAAGCCAGTACTATTAGTAAGCCTTTGGTGTGTGATGTTGGAATGATCATCCTAGTCAAGGATTCAAATGGAGATTTTGGAATCTTGTTTGAATTTGTGCGAGAACAAATCGATGACAGCTCCTTAGCATAATAACATGAAATATTGTAAATCCTAACTTTATGACCATTGTATTTTTTCGAGAGTTTTGACGTTTTATTTGAAATTTCCATTTTAGCAAATTGGCAGTGCCCAATCATTAGCTTGTGCATTGTTCTACGTTCAAGTTTCCTATCCCTCGGTTAAAGTTGAGCTTGAGCAATTGTTTATTGCAGGGAGGTGCTCGCTTATTTGGGTCATCAATATCATCCAAAGACCTCATAAGTGTGTCCGGGGTAGGTTGTAGTATAAAATTCTTGGGCCTTTTGATTTGACAATTTAACTTTTTTATGAATAGTAATCCTTTCGTGACTCGATTTTTGTGGTGTTGTGGTTTATCAGGCCATTCTACTAGAGGTTACTGAGGCACTCTATGCAGCATGCAAAAGTGGTGACTTTGATTTGGTGAACAAGGAAGTCAATAATGTAATTGCAGAAGGGTATCCAGTCTCTCAGATGCTTGCTCAGGTTCTCCTTATTTCTACCCTTGGACAACTTTCACTACCATATGCCATTTGCCAGATAAATATGCTACTTGTATGAGATTTCATCCAGTTATTTGAGGTGGTGGTTGAAGCAGATGACATATCAGATGAACAAAAGGCTTGCATATGCAAGAGTTTGGCTACAGCTGACAAGGTTACTTTGTCTGAAGCTCATTTCCCTTGCCTAGCATCCTCTTTGACTTTTGTATTATGGTGGTGAAGGTGAAAGCAAGGTCATTTATTCAAATACATAATTATAACCATTTTCTTCTAAAAACAGTGCAACTTAATACTTTCTGAACTATGATTTGCTATAGGCACCAATACTGACTCATCCAAGTTACCCCAACTGGTTATAACAACACAAAATTGACTGACTGAAAAGTCATAATAATACATCGAGAGAATACCATTGAAGTTTGCTTTTCCGCATTACTGGATTTCACTATTTTTACCCTTTTTCAATGTGGAGCTTTGTGGTTGCAATGTCTCCAAATATTTGTTCCTATTTTTATCTCATTTTCGGGGTATTAAATTTTCATTTTTAGCTCTTTTAGAATTACGGTAAAATTAATTTATTATCGTTTGATCTTTATTTTTTAATTTTTAATAACATTACTGTTTAAATATTGATTTCAAAGGATATATATATATATATATATATATAAAAGGAGTAAAACTCGCTATTTAATTCAAAAGGAAATTGAAAACGAATTAGTCTAAATGATCGGTTTAAACATACTTTCTCTGTTACATATTTATTGATCTTATTCAATTTTAAAAAGTCAACAGAAATAATTTTAACCGTAAAAATTTCATTATTTTATTTTATGTAAGAATATAAGATTAACGAAAAAATGAGCATAAAAAATGTTGTATTGACATTTGAAAATTTAAAAAAGGCTAATTCAACTGGGTCAGTAACAGATTAATACATAGTACCATAAACCTAGGCTGGCTTAGGCATCACAAAGCCCAAGTCAAACAACATCCAGCAACCCATTCCAAATGAGCCTACCAGGCCGTAGAACTAGCCCAAATTTCACCTCCTTTTACTCATCTCCAGTTCTCAACTTGCCATATTTCTGCTTTCTGCTTTCTTTCTTCATCAGCCAGACAGTGAGGAAAAACACAACAAAGAATTTGAGCTAGCTTTACCTTGTACTCTCACACATTTCAACTGAATCATTTCATGTTAGCTGATACTTGCTAATCATTACATTTCCCTAAAACATGAACCGATCAAAACCTCTGATAAACCGAAACCAAAGTTCCCTCGTAATAATCCAAGTCCTCTCCGTAATGCTCCAAGACCTCCCATTCGACACCAAACTCGCATCATCAACAACTAACCCAAATTTACTGACCACCGATTCAGTCTCCGATATTCTCCGGTCAATACCCAGATTCTTCTTTTATTCTCCACGTTCAGTTGGCCGTCAAAACATGACTCGCCATCGCTCTCCTTTAAAACAACGTAATCTCAAAGAAGAAACCGTAAATCCCGCCACAATGTACTCATTCTTGGTCCAGCTGCTTACAGAGACCCCAAAAGGGTCGCTTTAGGTTTTAAGAAAGCAGTTGAGTTCTTTTATTGGCTTGAAACTCACTTCAGTTTTAAACACACTGAAATTACATGTAGAGATATGGCCATTGTGTTGGCTAGAGGGAGTAAATTGGATGAATTATGGCAGTTTCTCAAAGAAATGGCTCAAAGAGAACATGGGAATTGTTTAGGCATTGTTAGTGTCAATACTGTTACCTGTTTGATAAAAGTCCTAGTAGAGGAAGGTTTGGTTAATCAAGCATTGGCTTTGTTTTATAGAATGAAGCAATATCATTTAAAACCGGATGTTTATGCGTATAATAACATTACTTTTGCGCTTTGTAAAGTTGGGAATTTTAAAAAGGCAAGACTTTTATTAGAACAAATGGAGTTACTGGGATTTGGATGCCCGCCTGATACTGATACTATATTGATTAGATCTTGTTGTAAGTATGGTTTGCAAATTGGGTGTAGAAAGGCCATAAGGAGGAGGATATGGGAGGCTAATCGTTTGTTTACGATTATGTAGTTTAAGGGTTTTGTTCCTGATGTTGTCACTTATAATTGTTTGATAAATGGTTGTTGTAAGACAAATAGGATTGAGAGGGCTCTTGAGCTTTTTGAGGATATAATAAAAGGGGTTGTGTGCCGAACCGTGTGACTTATAATTCTTTCATTAGGTATTTTAGCGTGGTAAATGAGATTGATAAGGCTGTTGAGATGTTAAGGAGGATGCAGAAGATGAATCATGTTTTGGCAACTACAAGTTCTTATACTCCGATTATTCATGTTTTGTGTGAAGGAGGAAGGGTGCTAGAGGCTCGAGATTTTCTTGTTGAGTTGGTTGATGGGGGTTCTATACCCAGAGAGTATACGTATACGTTGGTTTGTGATGCATTGAAGTCAGTGGGAGAGGGCAATTTACTCGGTAGTGATTTCGATAAGAGAATTAAAGATGGTATAGAGGTTAGATATAGAGAAGTGAAGAATGTGAAACCAATTATGGCACGTAAGATGATGTTGTAGCATATGGGAGTTCCTACTTCGTAGATACTTGCTACTTGCTATGTTAAATGGAGCTCTTTACCAATTTATGGTGCATCATCTGTGTGCTGGGAGATTTTTGTTATTTAAGGTCTCTGGCACTTGTATACGTACCTGGATAAAAGCGTTGGATGCAAGTACTTCAAGGTGAATTGAAGGACCCGGCACACAGGGCAGCATAGGCTACCTTGCAGCAACTTCATGCATCAAGCAGAATGGGAAAGGATACCTTTATCACATTGTTGGTGAGACACTACACTGATTATAAATTCTTTCGGTATCTTCAGGAGCAAGTGGTTAGGTCATCTTCCATTGCAGCGAAATGAAAACCAATTTTATATAGTTATCTTCTTTCAATAGGTTTGCTATGGCACTAACTGTGGACTTCCACAATGGAGCAGAACCGGTATCCAGGTGCATTATCCTATCTTTCTTAAAAAAATTACAGTGAAGCTGGCAAAGCAATCAGTATATTGCTCTCTTTATTATTCATGTTTCTCTGTTTCGAGTATCACTATGAACTGTAAAATGTATACTACATCGGGCGAACACTCCGTTTTGAGACCCATCCATAGTTTTTGGACCAGCAGAGCTTTGAAGCGTGAATCTTTTCCCTTTTTTTGTTCCTAGCAACTGAATCAGAAAGGTTTTGGTATAGCATGGCTGCTTTATTTTGGTTTTTCAATCATAGCATATTGAAGAAGTAACAAAATATATTACGCAATGAGGTTGAGAAAAGAAATTTCCTCTGCCATTACATGTGCTTGATGATTTTCTATTTGTGTTCAAGAGGCAATTATTTGTTCCTTATGCCCTTGTTTTCTGTTTACTGCTTATAACAGACATTTCCACCAAGAAAACTGAACGTCAATAAATAAAAGAAAATGCGTATTGGCACTGTAAAAGGAACAAAGGATGGTGTTCTTCTAATTTTTCCTTTCATCTTTTGTCCCTCTTACGCTGGACTATGGTAATTCCCCAGCTGTGAATCAAAATGAAATTACTTGCTTGGCATGGAAATTTGGGCTAATTACTTGATTGTTGTTTTAGCGGCTGGATTCTAATTAAGGTTGTTTTTTGTCCAACGTTAGACATAGAATCTTTCTAAATAATGGAACAACAATACTGCAATTAAAAATGGAGAGATTTTGATAGAGATAAAAAATTAGTTGGAAAAGGTAAATGCAATTGCCTCTGACTAAAGAACTTGTAGCTCAGCAGTAACAGTTTCTTGTAATAAGAGGTTAGGGGTTTAAATCCTATTAGACTAATTCAGTTAGGAGTTTTGGGTGCATGAGTTAAAAAAAAATGCAATTGCCTCTGTAACTATAAACTGTATATCGTCAACTCTACAGACGCATTGTGTGAACATGTGCTACCTCTGTACAGTTTGATGCGCCCACAGGCAAGATCTTACCATTGCCAGAGTAGTAATCTCAACTTAGTTGGTTGATAGTTTGAAATTCAGGGCCGGCCAAGCTACGGGTCGAGCTAACGTCGTTGAGACACTGGTTTAATGATGCCTCACATAGCTAATGCCGGGAAGAGCACAATCAAACTGTCGGAAACAAGACTACCTTGTCTATATATAAAACATGTAACCAGCACGATATACACCGTCTGTTGGAAAACTTGAAACGATTTTGAAGAATAGAATTACACTATCCTTAAGATTATTATTTCACTGTAATGCTGTAGGGATTTTAGCAACAATATCCTTGAATACAATTTTAAGGCAGTATTTGATTATATATATATATATATATATATATATATCCTAACTAATTAGTTTAGTTTTTTCTTCAGTTCCTTCAATCAAATATTTAAAAGTTTTACTAAAAATCTAACTTATAAGGTGCTTCTTCTTTTCATTCCTCTCCAATGTGAAATAAAAATCTTACTTGAAAACTTTTTCAAATTTCCTTCATAGGAAACTTGACATATTATCTAACATATTCAAGATTTCTAACGCACTCTAATGACATGGCCCAGTGATGGCACTCACTGTTTGATTATTCAGCAACGGTCCGCATATCAACACATTCTCTCCTTCTCTCTAATTAGTTTATTCTTCCACGTATTATCCTCATCATCCTTTACATGTTTTGTTGCAACTCCTCAGCGAATCATATGATAAGTCTATTGCAATTTACTCTTGAAAAAGGTTTAGGCACGTTTGCAGAATGTGTTCGAAGATGTGAAACTCGTGGCATCCTCAAGCGCCCACGGTATCCTTAGTATAATGTTCTGTCTACCTCAGTATCGCATGTATTAAATCCATGACATGGGGTTTAAGGGTCAAACATATTATTCTAACTTGTACAGTTGCAATTATCCTAATGAAACTGAGATTTTCTGTTATTTAAAGTGGTTGGTTTGCAGAAACCATCACCATGTCAAATTAGTTTTGAAAGCAACTGTAAGGCACACTTGTGGGGGCATTGAATTTAGACAGTGGTAGCATTCATATTGGTGCATGATGTCAGCTTGTATGACTAATTCACACTGTCATTATCGTATAATGGTAATTCTAATCCTAGCTTTAAAAGAATTAATATAACTAATTAAAAGGGGAAAAAAAGGAACCTCTTTTGAAGTGGATGTGGATACACTTAATTTAAATGGTGCGATGCTTTTTTGTTGTTCTTTCGGCCAACGTACTATCGAAACCAGAAGTGACAGGTACCTTAATTTTTAATATCGTTGATGAAAGATGTTAATGATCCATTTGTGGTCGTCCTTTGAGCAATAAATATTTCAGTGTAATTAAATGGGTGTTTCTATTGTGTTTTCGGTATGGGTTTGTTTTGTATTGAGTGAGATATTAATGTTCCATTTGTCGCTGTCCTTTGAGCAGTATTTCAGTGTAATTATTTGGGTGTTTGTATTGCGTTTTAGGTATGGGTTTGTTTTGTAGTTGAGTGATATATTATAGCGTACTAATATTATAACAAGAGGATGTAAGTGTATAATAAAAAATTATACCGTCCATCCTCTCATATTTTATTATTCATCCACTCATAAAATACAATTTATGTGGCATTTTTGTAATTTTAATTACTCTGATGGACAAAGTAATGTTCAATTCAATCCCTCAAATTCATTGGTGTAATATTTTGGTTCCTCTCTTCATTGGAGGGAGAGAGTCGTTGGCCACCCTATTTTCATCAGTGACTCTTGATAAAAGTGGATCATATAATCACACTTGACATATTAATCGATGCTGTTAAGTTTATCAATGGTCATATTTTTGTCGGGAAAAAGAGATTTAAGAAAAGTTTTTGGTTTTAAAATTTTGATTGGATTTTAAGGTAGACCTAGATAGATTTTAAGCTTTCAAATGGGTTTGTTGAGGTTATAGAGAGGACTTTGATGTGTTTTTGATTGAAAATAGTGTAAAAAATTCAGTTTTTTTATGGACGAGAGGTGGAATGTAGTTTTTTTTAGAGAAATACTAGTAACACTTTTTTTAATTTTTTTTTAACATTTGCTAAATAAAAATGTTTAAGTAAAAAAATAACAAATATAAGATAACCCATGTTCTATATACAGGTTTTTAGAAAGTTTTTAAATTATAATTAATTTTATATTATTTAAAAGATTAAAATACTTTTTTTTGTCTTAAAATTATTTGAATAACCATTAAGTTGAAACCAAGAGTTAAGATTTTTCTTTTCTTTCTTGAATGTAAATACTCTGAGTGTTTTATTTTGACAATAAATGAGTAATTATTCATTACATTGGTGCTTTATGTAAAAAAATATATTTTAATTTTTTAAATAATATGAGATTGATTGTAATTTTAAAATTTTTAAAAATATGAAATATCACTTATTGTTAATTTTTTACTTAGATATTTGAGATAGTTCAAAAAATTTGATGTGGACACTTTTATTAAAAAAGTGTTTAAAAAAAAAGATTTAAAAGAAAGTGTTAAAAAGGTGTTGCTAGCATTCCTCTCTTTTTTTACTTTTTTTCGATCGAAGAGTCGTTCGAGTAGATGAAAGCAAACAATGCGTTATCCAATTCCATGACACGTCATTTGCTTGCTGTAACTAGCATGCGGGCCTGGTGCTTAGGTCTGCTTTTTTATTCTTTTTCTTTTTTTTTCAATTTCTTTTTAAAAATATTTCCTCCCTAATAAATGAAAAGGTAAGTAAAATTTTAGTAGTTAATTTCAGTTAACAATTAATAAAGAAGTTTCTATAGAAAAGATTTTTCATTCATGAACTTTCAAATTAATTTTGAAGTTGATTAATATAATTTTTATTTATTTCTAAATCTTAGTCACATTAATTTCAAGAGAAACTTTTTAAAATATATCGAGACTTAAACTTTTGGATATTAAAAAATTAACTTTACAGCTTAAATTTATGAATAAAATGTTTAGCAATTTAAATTTTGATTCATAATATTATTGGAAATATTTGATGGAGAAGGTTTCTCTAATGAAATTTTAAAAATTCATTTTAAGTCGATTAATAAAGATTTATCTAATTTTTTGCACCTTAATGTCAGGAGCAAAATTTCCATTTAAAAGGGTATGGAGACATAAAACGTTGATGGCTAAAAAAATTAGTTTGGCATCCGAAATTAAGGAATGAAATGCTCCATATAATTTGGGAGAAATAAGTGTCCTTTCCTTTAATGCGTACAATTGATATTGATAAAGGAGCATTTGACTTCTACAGTTTTACCCAATCAAGCACTCCAAAACATTATGTACTCATCATCAACACGATCGAGGATTGTTTTTTACGGTTACAACACTGCATTTGCAAACTGTCGGTTTTGATGACATGTTTAGGCATGAATAGTATACATTTGGTGGGAGATTAGTAGCCTGTCACTCTGGAAATGATTACGTTTTTTCATGCATTGGGAAATTATTAATTATAAGGTGGAGGTAGGTCCGTTATGGCGAAAGTGATTGACAGCAAGTAGCATTGCATGGAAAGGGCGGTTTGCAAATTTTAAGAAGT